TTTTTTTTAAGTTATAATGATCATATGCATGATCTCAGAGAACATTATTATGCATACTTATCTTGTATCTTGTTACTTTCTGTCTGTGTGAAACCTAAAAAAGTCACTAATTCAACTAAGGTCTCATATTATGAACTTGTTTCAAGGTTATTAGTCTGTTGCTGTTAATTAGATCTTTATCAGGTAAGTCCTGCTCCTTTTGAGCAGTGGAAGTGGATAAAGCAAAGCGTTCACATGGATGGAACTCTTATATGGTACTTAAATCTCATCAACACTGCACATCAACACTTAGTTGCTTATACATCCGATTTTGCCTAAGAAAAGGGAACGATGGTAATAAAAGTCAAGGTTAGAAGATGTGTTCTTCAGATAATTACTGTTATTGGTCACAGATGTTCAGATGAGCTTCGCTAATTATGTAGTGAATTGAAATACGTGAACTGAAGTTAACTAGTGCAGTAGAACACCAAAATGATGTCATTTTTCATCCATTAGTCTAGCTTCTACACTATGCCGAGCCTGGAGATTATGAGAAGTTGCAAAGACTTTCCAAGCTATTAGAAGTTTGAGAGCTGATTCTGGGTCCTTGTCATTTTTGTAATTTAAAAACCACAAGTGAGTCATTGGAACCTTCTGCATTATCTCTGGCTTTGATAACTGATTTTACCGCTGTGTGCATCGATACTCGGAATCTTTTTTATTATGGTACATATTTTACAACATAAAAACCAGTAATTGAATCCTGACATGGGCATCTGTTTGTTTTATGCGTCCAAGTTCCCTACTCAAAACGAGGTATCAAGAGGTCCAGATGCGTGATTCCATCAATACATCCTTATGTTTTAAGCTGAAAATAATTTCCATCACGATGTGTCTGTAATTATCTTAGGATACATTAATGTGGGACAGCTGAAGGTGCATGGCATCATGAGCATATGCATCTTCTTTATTGAAGACCTATAGTTTCTTGTGTTAGGAATTCTTAGCCTAGCTCGCACCAAATCTTCCATAACTGTCAATTCAGAGCAAGATTTATAGTTGAAACAATCTTCTTTTTCTTGATCTGACTATTGATATAATAGAGAAACAATTTTGCGTTTGTGGCTAAATATTTGTAAGGCAGTAAATGGTGGAAGTGGGCTACTGTAACCATAAAATACAAGTCATGATATTTCCCTCTTCTTTGGATAGTTTTTGGGGCTTTGTTTTCCTTGTTTGATTGAAACACTTGATATGTAGCTGCATATAACGCTAATTTGGGTATGTTAAGTGTCATTTCAATTTTACATTTACATTTCTTCTCACAGTAGTCTATTTCTCCTTTGTAGAGGATGGAGAACTCTATATGTGGGGAAAGAACGCAAATGGACAGCTTGGCCTGGGAAAAAGTAACTATATGAGGCTAACTCAGAAATTCTGTCTTTAGTTATTTCTTTTATCTGCTTAAGCTAACTAAGGTGCTGCTTGGATATTAGTTGTGAAAACTCAAATTTAACTCAACCCCAGACCCTTCTTAATATTATCAATATAATTAAATAATATCAGGCAATCATCCTTGCACATCACATCAACTTTAATTCACTATTCATCAACTCACATAATTATCCATCTCTTCCAATCACCTCTCTCATACTTGTACATTAAATCAACTTTAATAATTTTATTCTAAATATTATTTTTATTCAAACTAAAAATTCCACTCAAACGTAACCCAACCAACTATTTGTTGACCAAAAAAGCCAAGTCAAAACCAAGTATCCAATAAAAAACTTATATTCAAGCACACCCTAAGTAAATATGTATCCTACTTTGTCTTCATTTATCTAAAGTGTTTTCGAACAAATGACTTTTCTAGGTTTCTGAAATGAATTTTATGAGGGTAAAGAGTCAACAAAATGAAATATAGAATTTTATTAAACAAGACTGATAACCAGAAGCTTGAAGAACGAAAAAGTTTGAAGAACAAACTTCTGCTCAACAAGAAATACTGTTGCCTATTATAATATGATTCTTATTGCCTTCCCTTCTCTACTAGAGATCTTATATTTGTATATTAACTGACATAATAAAAGGTAATAACACATAATATAAAAGTTTATATTAATAAAAACAAGATAACAATGATCTTCAAAAGACAATCAACCCAGATCCCAAAATCACTCCACACTCTGTAGATTTATTCTTCTTGCTCAATTATTATTATTCTTCACTATGCATTCCATTATTTATGCCTTATTTCAAGAATTCTTCAAGTGATACTGATATGCTGAAACATCTATAGGCTGAACTGTTTTATCGAATAATGATTTTAATAATATGTATTATTCTCTATCTTCATCATCCGAGGTGATTTTAGTTGTAGTGAAAGAACTAAAAAGCCACACTTCATCAGGATTGGGAAGAACAAGTTCCTGGCTAAATTATTTCATTTCTTCTTCCCGGTGATTAAGTTCAAATTGATTTGCTAGTACTTTAAGAGCTGTTATGGTCTAGATTTGTTTGTTATCATGTCCATCAATTCTTTCCATCACTCATTCTTGTTATTGATCTGCAGAGGCAGAAAAGATAACTTTTCATCCCCACAAAATTGATTCCTTGGGCGGAGTCACTATTAAAACAGCTTCCTTAGGATTTGAACACTCGATTGCAGTAACAGGTCTGTACTGTTTCTGGAGTCACTACTACGTTCAGTAACTTACATTGGACTTTTACAATTACTTCATTTATTTATTATTGTTATTATTAATATTATTTATTCGGTGGATTCTGCTGTCCAACACTTCTGTTGGGTAGACCAAGGTGAAATTTTGAGTTGGGGCGGAGGGGAGTCTGGAAGACTTGGTCATGGACATGAATCGAGCATTTTGGGTTTCCAGAAAAGTAGCAGGTTGTTTTTATTAACACAAGCCATTAATAGACCTTGAAATTGAAAATTTTCAAGAAATACCTAAATTCAGCATCTTTATTAACGGGGTTTATTGTTAAATTTATTGTTTTAACAGTAGGCTATTAGGCAACCATACTTTTTCAATATATATGCATACTCTCATACACAAGTTGACATATTTTAAAAAACATCATAAACTAAAGCATGTATAACTATGTATTTCGTTCAAAATATATGACGGGTCACCGTTGTACTGCTTCACACAATAATTTGTGTTGTTTTACTTGTTAGACACAGGAAATAGTTTAAAAATTCATATGCAGCTAGGAGAGTCCTGTTAGTGAAGAAATGTATGATTCAATTATTTTAAAAAGATATCTACAAGTCTTCTTTCATTTGTTAAAACCCAAAGAACTACTTTATAACATAAAAATGCAGCTAGGAGGGTCATGTTAGCGAAGAAATGTGTGATTCAATTATTTTAATACAAGTCTTCTTTCATATTTTAGAAACCAAAGAACTACTTTATGGCACATACTTAATACCAGTGTTGTTAAATGTCAGTGGCAGCATGTCACAAACCACTGATAATTATAGTTATGCTGAGTCTATACAAGTTCAGAGGTTTGGGTTGTGTGTCTGCCGAGTAACTCCTGGAATAGTGGTTATGCTATTGCTGTGATGAGGTCACTGTTTTTTAAAAGGAGAAATTAATTGGCCGTCTAGTGTCTTTGGAAGGATGGAAAGTAAATTAGGCTGCATATTGTGCTTCACTGATGCATTTTTCCGTTGTTCTTTGCTTCAGGACGTGTATATATTTTGCATTGTTGTTTTTTTTTTTTAGACGACTTAGCCTACCCCAACTTGCTTGGGACTAAAAGGATATGTTGTTGTTGTTGTTGTTGTTGTTCTTTTTAGACACCTAAAATTAACTAGAGTTTATTCATTTTGTGACATAATCCAAGATAAATAAGCTATTTAATTAAAAAAATAATTATTTTCTTTTTCCCACCAAGTCAAATCTTAAGATGATGGAACTTCACCTCATAATTTTCGTAGGATTGTCTCTCCCCCTCTTTAAAATAGGGGTCTTACCTAGTCAATTGAGAGAGACAAATTTTATGGAGAAGAAACCATAAAAGAAAAATAGACAGTGGTTTCTCTCCTAGAAATAAAGAGGTGCTATCCATGCTTCTCAAGTCAAATCTAAGAAAATTAACAACGTATGTCATTCAGTTATATTTCTCGTGGAGTTCAACCAATTAAAGTTTGATTCGGGAAAAGAGCGTTCAAACTCTTGACTTAACGTTGTTATTCAAGTTCAAATCCATCTTTAAGGAAAAGAAGAAAGTATGAAAAGAAGGCATCTCCAATTGAATCAAGTGCTAACGTTTAATTTGGTAATGAGTTATTCGACCCCCAAAATACACATTAATTAAATTCAATCCCAAGCAAGGTGAAAATCCAAATCTAGAAGAAAAGAATTAGAGGGGCTATATACATTTGGTTAAAATAGAATCAAGTTGTGTAATTATTTTATGTTTTTGCATAAAATTTATTTTCTCCAATTTAGTGCACTCGGTGGGACGATCTCCCTTTCTCATCTATTTTCTTTGAATCATGTTTAAAGATCTTTGAACACGATGTTGATTTCTTTGAAGAAAATGTATGAGGGGGCGACTGAAGATGTCACTTCGTCAAACCATGAAGCTGTTGATAATCATTACAACAACAACATGGCCTTTTAGTCTCAAGCAAGTTGGGATACGCTAGAGATGAAACTCAAGAGAACCAATGGTAAGAGAAACACAAAAAGGGCTCAAAACAAAAGGAAGAGATTGGAGCAAAAGAGAAAGGAGCAAAAGTCACGGTTCTTGCACGTTGATTGCTAGCCTCCAAGCACTCCTATCCACCGCTAAATCCTTAGAGATATTCCAATCTTTAAGGTCTCTCTTAACCGACTCTTCCCAAGTGAGTTTAGGTCGACCTCTACATATCTTTACATAGACCCGCTATAGAACTCCCCTACGCACCGGTGCATCAGGAGGCTTCCGTTGGACATGTCCGAACCACCTCAACCGATGTTTAACCAATTTCTCCTCAAATGGAGCCACTCCGACCTATCTCGAATATCCTCATTCCGGATTCTATCCCTTCTTGTGTGCCTGCAAAACCAACGCAACATACGCATCTCTGATACACTTAGTTGTTGGACATTTTGCCTTTGTGTAGGCCAACATTCAGCACCGTATAGCATCGCCGGGCGAATCGCCGTCCTATCGAACTTACCTTTTAGCCCTTGTGGCACCCCCTTATCACAGAGAACGCCCGAAACTTGACGCTATTTCAACCAACCGGCTGCAATTCTATGCCTAACATCTGTATCAATGTCGCCATCCTTTTGTAGCATCGATCCTAAATACCGGAAATTCTCCTTCTTGGCCACCACTTGCCCTTCAAGGCTAACGTGTGTAGCCATGCTTAAAGCGCACGTCATGTACTCGGTCTTCGTCCTACTAAGTCTGAAGCTTTTCGACTCTAACGTGTCCTTCCACAGCTCTAACTTCCTATTTACCCCTGCCCTACTCTCGTCAACTAGCACCACATCATCAACAAAGAGCATACACCAAGGGATATCACCTTGTATGTCCCTTGTGGCCTCATCCATCACCAAGACAAATAAATAAGAGCTCAATGTTGACCCCTGGTGTAGTCCTATTTTAATTGGGAAGTCGTTGGTATCGCCCCCACATGTTCGGACACACGTCATCGCATCCTTGTACATATCTTTGATGAGGGTAATGTGCTTAGATGAGACTTTGTGCTTTTCTAAGGCCCCCACCACATGACATTCCTCGGTACTCTGTCATAAGCCTTCTCAAGGTCGATAAAGACCATGTGCAAGTCCTTCTTTTGGTCCCTATATCTCTCTATCAATTGACGTATTAGGAAAATCGCCTCCATGGTCGACCTTCCATGCATAAACCAAAATTGGTTTTGGGTCACACTCGTCACTCGTCGTAGGCGATGCTCGATAACCCTCTCCCAGAGCTTCATCGTATGACTCATCAACTTAATCCCACGGTAGTTACCGCAGCTTTGAACATCTCCCTTGTTCTTGAAGATCGGTGCTAAAGTACTTCTCCTCCATTCATCAGGCATCTTGTTTGACCGGAAATTGAGGTTAAAAAGCTTAGTTAGGCATATTAACGCTCTGGCGCTCAAACATCTCCACACCTCAATGGGGATACCATTAGGGCCCATTGCTTTACCTCCCTTCATACTCTTCATAGCCTCTCCGATCTCTGCCTCCCGAGTTCTCCTCACCAAGCGTCTATCGGTATCCTCAGATGAGTCATCCAACTCCAGGGTAGGACCCTCACTCTCCCCATTAAACATTTTGTCGAAGTACTCTCGCCATTTGTTGATAATCATTGACTTAATAAAAAATCTCCAAATGAAAGCAAACAATAGTGGTCTTCCACATCCTTCTCAAATTTCACGGGGGTGATTTAAATGAAGCTCCATCAAATCAAATCATCAATGTTCTTGGTAAGCTTAAACTATATAAAGATGTGCGATATGAGCAAAAAATTATTTCAATCTCCAAATCATCATGCTCCTTGATACGAGCATAAACTAGCACCTTAATATGAGCTGAAACTATTTTAATTTTAAAATTCTTTACGGTACTTGACACGAGCCTAACGATCTACAACGCTCCTTAATATGAATCCAAACTATCTAAGACATGAGTATAAAATGTCTACGAATCTAAATTCTCCTTTGGAACATGATTTGCTTATAAATTTGAAAACTCTTGGACTCAAAGATAAAATGTCTATAAAGTCAAATCAAATCAAGGCCTCTCGTTACGAGCATAAAATTTCTACTAATTTGAAGGCTGCTTGACGGATAAAATATCTACAATTTGAAGGTTTCTTAGCGTGATCAGATATTGTTTGCAATTACATTAAGAATAATTGGTGTACAAGTCAAATAAGATCCAAACTCTTTTATACGACAATAAAATGTTTACAAATTTGAAGACTCATTGACTCGAGTATAAAAGTTTATAAATCAAATGAAAAACTCCTTTGGTTAAAGTATAAAATGTCTTCAAGTCCAATCACATCAAAAATTTTTGGCAAGAGCATAAAAGGCCTGTGAATCAATAATTATTTGATACTAGTATAAACCATCTGCCAAATCAATTCAAAACCTTTTGATACAATATTATCAATCAATCAACAATCAATCAACAAGCCGTTAAAATCTCACTAAGTGGGGTCGGCTATATGAATCACATATCGCCATTGTGCTCGATGGAAACACATATCCTCATTCAAATTTAAATATGTTAAATTATTTTTTTATTGTTACCTTCCATGTATTCTTAGGTTCACCCCTCCTCCTTTTAATTTGCGTTCTTAATTCGAATGTTTACACACTTCTCATTGGGGCCTCGAAGCCTCTCCTACGTACATGTCTAAACCATTTTAGTCGTGATTCTCTCATATTCTCCTTGATAAGCGCTACCCCAACTTTATTTAATATTTTCATTTCTAATCTTAGAACATATTCAATGGCCTTTTCATTGCTTTATTTTGTTGCTACATGACACAAACTATCCTATGCGGCATGGAAATTATCTAGAAGTCTTTCGAGATGTAGAAGCTATTCTAAACAACTTCTATTATATATTATATTATTTAATTACTTTATCTCATTACTCGAACCAATTACAATTTTACACATCACAAATGATATTATAATTAACATTAATCATTGGAGACAAAATTTTTAATTTATTTTTTCCATGCCATACAATACAAAATGGTCGGTGGTGCTCTTATTTAACCTAGTATGCCCACACATCCATGTCAACATTCTCATCTCTGTCACTCTCATTTTTTGCTCATTTTCATACTTAATAGGCCAACACTCAGATCCATAAAGAATCGTTGGTCGAATAACCGTTCTATAGAACTTGTCTTTCAAACTCAGTAGTACTTTACGATCACAAAGTATCGACGACGCCCTCCTGCATTTGCTTTATGTTGATTGAATTCCATGTGTTACATCCTTACCTATGTTTCCATTATCTTCCAGGATGGATCTTAAAGATTTAAAACTTTTAGATGTGTCAATTCGGTTCTCTTATTTTTACTTTTACCCTATTATTACTCTTTGATTACTAAAATTACATACCATATATTTCGTTTTGGTCCTACTTATTTTGAAACCCTTTGTTTCAAGCGCCTCTCTCCTAGTTTCTAGCTTAGCATTTATCCACTCTCTTGTCTCATTTACAAACACTATGTCATTCGCAAACAACATGCAGTCGGTGACTTCATGGTATGAGTATAAAATATCTGCGAATCAAAACTCATTAATATGAGTTAAATTATCTATCAATTCAAGTTGAAGAACTTATAGGTAAGAGTTTAAACTACTTGCATCTTAACCAAATTGAAGGATTTGTTCACTTCCATGGCACGTCCTTAAACAAGTCAAGTCGCAAGGAGGCATTTTAGTGTTTGCAATTTTAATATTTTTAGTTAATGTATTTATTTTTGGATATAATTCCAAAATAAATAAGATATTTGAAATAATATATTTATTGTTGATCAAGTCAAATCATAGGATCATAGAAGAGATCATATCAAAGATTGAAGGACCAATTAGATCTCCTTCTTCAACAAAATAGATTTGGTAATAGTCTCTCACCTTATAATTAGGGTCTTTATAGAAAGCAAAACACACACATCATGATTCAAGTTAAGTTTAAGAGCTCTCGAGAACTCTCAACAAGATCTGTAAAATTTTTGAAGATTGGAAGACGTTTTTTAACATCCTAGTACGTTCAATTCTAAAAAATTGAAGTCATTTTTGAAGATTCAAGTACGTTCAAGTTAAGGTTGCCATTCAATCCGGAACCAAGCCCCCGAGCTTTTGAATTATGTTGATACACAAATTTGCGGGAGAAAAATGCCAAGAAGAAAAAGTGACGGTGGTTCCTGATCCAGAGAAATAGAGGCGTTGTCCACTAATCTCAAGTCAAATCTATGAAGATTGATGGCGTTAAAGGCGTCGTTCAAGTTGCGTTTGACGTGCGGTTTAAACAAGAAAAAGCTTTCCAAGTCCATAACAATTTTCAAGGAAGGTCGAAGAATAAAGTTTTCAAACAAGCCCCCTCCAATCAAATTAAGTCCTAACGTTTGATTCGGGAAGTCATCTACTCTCCAGAATGTTTAACACTATTCAACACTATTCAAGTTCAAGCTCAAGCTTGAAGGAGATTCAATCTTCGAACCCACATTCGAAGATCAAAATTCAAATAAAAGAGAATCAAAGGCGATATATAGAGATTGTATCCGTAACATCACTTGCTCAAAATAAAATCAAGCACTTATGTTTCTTATAAAATTTATTGTAGTAGTTTCATTTGGGTGGTGCTTGGATATAAATCTTGGTTGGACAACTCCAATCACAACTCAAATTTAACTCAACTCAACCCTCCTCAATATTATCAGTATAATTAGTCAATCATCCACACACATGACATTAACTTTAATTTACTATTCATTCATTCACATAATTTAACTTCTCATCACTTCCAATCACCTCTATCCTACTATTACATCAAATTAATTCTAATCATTTTATTTTAAATATTTTTTTAATACAAACTCAAAATCCCACTCAAACCTAACCACACAACTTTTTGGTTAACCAAAAAAAAAAAAAAAATCGAAACTCAACTTGCTTTATATCCAAGCACACTGGGGTTCGAGGTGGTTTTCAGTTGATACTCATTTGAATTTGTGGTGTTACCGAGTCATAGTTGACTATTATTACTTTCAGGATTGAAAAGGCGACGCCATGGCGTGAGGCGTGGCGTGGTGAGGCCTTCTCACCTCGAGCAGCCATAGGCGAGGCGAGGTTTCAAAAGGCCCTGCCGAGGCGACACCTCGGTGAGGCTCGTGCCACATTGTGATGAGGCAAGGGGCAGGAAAATTAGGGTTACGACCTGAGACTTCATTTTTCTTTTCCAAATTAAGCCTGTTTTCTCCGTGCAAACCTTCAATCAACCTGTGCTTTTTTTTTTCAACCTGTACAAGGCGACCGGATTCCGGCGAGGGCGAGGGCTTCATTGAGAATGTGTTATTTTCTTCCATGTTCGTTTTTTTCTTCTTTGTTTTTTGTATTCTTTTTTTTTTTTTTCTGTTCGGATGGTTGGTGAGGGCTGCCGCTGGTTATGGACGTCGCCAGCGTCAGAGGTGATACTGACGGTGCTGCTGCCAATATTTAACCATTTTTTTTCCTTTTTCTGTGGGTTTTGCGTTTTCTGGAGTTGATATTAATTGGTAGCAGACTTTTTTAAATGTTTGATTTGTGCCTTTGTATGTTTTTCTATGTTCTCCTGCTTGCTTCTTGAATATGGCAATGTACAGACTTCTTCGATATTCTTTTGAATGTTTTTTTCTTTTCTTCTGCCTTCTTCGACTCAATGATATTTCTCAATTTTTTGTACCATGGGTCACCTAGCCTTCATAAGGCGCCTCACGCCATGGCATATAGGAAGCTTGTAGCCTCTGCTCGGAATGCTCTATTTTAATCAATGCAATCTGGTCAAATCATTAGGCTCTGACTGGATATTGCTTGTCATCCACTGAAAATATTTTGCATATGAAGAATACCTTTTTGTAATTGCCTTCAATTATTTATCATCATTTTATGGGCGATTGAAATTGCAGTGAGTATACACCACGACTGATTAAAGGACTTGAGGGAGTTAAGGTACTTGTGTGGCGTCTCTTGCTTTAGGAAATCTTTCAGCCTGACCCTTTGTGTTTGTTCAATGTTCATTCAGAATTTCATGATACTTTCACAATATTAGGTCAAGAGCATTTCTGCTGGAATGCTTCACTCTGCCTGCATTTCTGGTAATAACTTATGTTTTTATGGTTGGTGTGTTTCCTATTAATTTTGATATTCAAAACCACAACACACCCTAATTTTACATGTGTTTGAAATTTTTCAGATGATGGCTCTGTTTATTTCTTTGGTGAAAGAGAATTAGGAAAATGGGTAATCTAATACTCCAATTGTAGCTAGCTGATGTTCATTTGTGTTTCAGAATCTGTGTCTTCTGTTGGCGTCTTTCCTGACAGATTCCTGATTAGGGCTTTGGTAAAGCAAAGAGTGAAACCACACCATGTACCATTAGTTCACTGCCATTTTCAGAGGAAGTTGCGTGTGGTGGTTACCACACCTGTGTTATTACAAGTAAATCTTTCATCTGATTGATTTTCTCTTTATTTGATTCTTTAGCAATGACTTGAGTAAATCAAAGTTTTGCGAGTGCTGCATTTAGAAGATTTTACCTTCTTTCATTTCATTATGCAGAGAGCTAGTCTTAGTTTAAAAACTGAAGTAAATATTGTTAAGCAATTTCAATTCCTAGGTAAACTATACAGCTGAATTTGGGTTCTGTCATTGAACTTTTGATAATATGTTGATTGAGGAACCTTGGAGATTGTGCTAGAAAGTCGTACATTAACTGCTACTTGAGTATCAACATATATATATATATATATATATATATATATATTTATATTTCAAGACATTTTTTCCTTCCTCATTTGTCAATACTTATCATGGTGCTTCATTTATTTATTTATTTATTTATTTATTTTGGTTTCTGAGACCACCGGTTGTCAGAATCTCTCTCTACTTCTGAAGTCATAGGTGAAGTACTTTGAAATTGTAGACAACATTGCGATTTTGCTTGAACAAAAACATACCGATATGCAACATTTTATTTTACAAGCTGAAACATCTATATGGGCTGTGGCACACATTGATGGAAAAACCATACTTTTTGATGTCTTCATATTCTTTTAATCAAGATGTAATTATTTATATTCGCCCTTTCTTCTTTTCCAATTCCTTAAGCATTTTCTCTTTCTCATGTTAGACCCATAAAGTTGGACACGTTACAGGTTTAACCTGTCTTAGACACTAGTTGTATCTGTAGATGTTCGTACAGTAAACAAAAATGTCCTTTTGACATGTTTTCTTGCATTTTCATGTGTGCTCTCACACTATATTATTGTTGTCTTGCCTAGTCAATATTATATGATCATGTTCCTGTATGCATCTCCACCATGTTGGAAAATAATGCTCTAGCTTTGGTAGAAGATTTCATCTTCTCTTCGTAATGTTACTGATATTTTGCTTCATCCATTGATTCAATATTGTGTGCGCTTCATGGTCTAATCTTGGATTCACATAACATTAAAGATTATTTTTGGGGCTCAGTGATTCTATTGTTGTAGTTGAATCGAGTGATTTTGAAATTTTAACTTACGTGTCATGATTGCTTGTTCCTCTAAGTTGGTTCTCAAGACGGTGCTTCAGAAAGTGAATTTTAAGTTTCTTATCTTTCTATCTGAACTAGGCTATGTTTGGTAACCAATAAGCTATCTTATAGCTTATTTGATTAGCTTATAAGCTCTCTGTATTTAAATAAGCACTGTTTGGTAGGACGAGCTTATTTAAAAAGCTCGAGCTTATTTGATAAGCTTCTTTTGGTAGTTTTTCAAATAATCTCGTTCAAATTTTTATTTCAGTTACCTTATCAGCTAATTTTACCAAACACATTTATCATATAAGCTAGCTTTTCAGCTATAAGTCATAAGCTATAAGCTATAAGCTCAAAAATTACTAATAAGCTATAAGCTAGCTTATTAGCTAGTTTTACCAAACATAGCCCTAGTGGTATCCCGTGCAGCCATGGTGAACTGTATAAATTAAATTGACATAATATACAAACATGAAAATATGATTTTTGAGAAATAAACCAAAACATAAATAAATTATATACCATGAAATGATATTTGTAGTCAAATTATATTCCGATTTGTTATCATTATAAACTATATTTTATTTTTTTTTATTTTTATTTTATCGTTTGGTTAATGACTTATGAGACATTATTGCATCCTAAATTGAGTAAGGTTTCCGATGTCTGGGTGGGATGTAATATAATTATACTACCTCCTATTTTTAATATATGTCGTTTTGAGAAGTTGCACGTTAATATTTTTTTTTTTTGTCAATAATAACCTTATAGAAGACAGATGAATATAGAGATGAATGTTTTGAGAAAAAGTGAAGAGTGAATATGAAAAGACGTAATGAATTTATTCGCTAAATGAGGGTAATAATGGAAAAATATGTAGAAAAGATCCAAAATGACATTTATTTGACAAATAGTTGATAAAGCTAGAATGACATTTAAAATAAATAGGAGGGAGTATATTATAATATACTGTTTGCTATATTATTTTTTTTCTATCTTTTTATAATATTTTTCAGGATGTAAAATAGTTATATTTATGATAAAGACCAATTTATGAAAGTCTATTCTAGAAGGCTGAAACGGGCTGCGGCTGCTCCTACTGGACCCTAGGGCGTACACCCAATTATCCTTATTATTTGGTTAATGTAATTAGTTAAGTTAGCGGGCTCTTAAATGGGCTTTAGGGTTTAATTATTAAATATTAGTGTTTAGTTTATATATTGGTGGGTAAGAGTTGGATGAGTATTCTGGAATATTGGTGTTTGTGGCTAGGCTATCTTGCCTGAGGACCCTTCGAGGTAGTTCGTTCATTATTTATTGTTATTATTGCCCTTCACTCTATCAAATTGGCCCGACCTGTCGAGCCTTGTATGCAGACAAGGATGGACACCCGTTTCGAGAGGATGAAACACGGTTTGGAGATGATGGAGAAGGGCCTTGACGAGGTATGTACAAAATTTTCTACTATCGAGACCATGTTTGCTGCCATCATGAAGGAGAAGGAGAAATCATCCGATTCTAGGACCTCCCACGTGACGGACACATCCCAGACCATGAACCATACCACTACGTTGTTTGGGACACCAAAAATTGACCTCCCTTCATTTGATGGATCTGACCCAACTGCTTGGATAGCCACTGAGCAAATTTTTTTGGTTCACCACACTCCAGTGGCGAAAAAGGTTCTAATTGCGCTCGTCGCCATGTCTGGGGATGCATTGTATTGGGTTCAAGGTTTAATGCGCCGTTTTTCGACTATCGCTTGGCCCCAGTTCATCGAAGAACTATTGTATCGCTTCAGCACTCTGACGACTGTGAATGCATATGAGGCTTTGAAGGTCACGTGGCAAACCGGCTCTATCGATGAGTATATTGCTGAATTTGAAGCTTGTGTTGCTCAGGTAACTAATTTATCTGACCCTTACTATTTGGGTTAGTTTTTAGGTGGTTTACGCGAGGATATCCGACTCCGTATAGGTGATGACCCTTCCATGAATGGTAGAATGTGTATGCTGCAATTCGATTGGCTCGTCAAGTGGAACATGAATTGAATTTCGCAAACTTCCTATCTAGTAAGGGACAACCTCGTTCGTCACTCTCCCTCCTCAAGTTCTAGCCGCCAATTACAGGGTCCACGGTTTTCGTCACCTCTCCAGCATAGCTCACAAATCCAACAGCCTCAAGCTCGCTCGACTCCCACCCTGAGTTCTGGAGCCAGCCAAAAGGGGTCAACCTCAAATACAGGATCCACTATCCCATCTCAGAAGTTCCGTAGAGTGCGTCAACTCACACCTTCCGATTACCAGTCCCATCGGCAACAAAGTCTATGTTTTTGGTGCAGCCAACCCTATGGCCCGACACGTTTGCCCAGCTCGTTCCCTAAACGTGATGCTCGCGGGTGAGGAGTTGGACGTTTCACAACCTTAAGAGTCTGAGATACCCATTGTCTCTGAATTGGTAGAAGAGGTCCCAGCCTCTGACAACTGAACCCCCACTTCTCCAAACCTTACAACTTTCACACCTTGCAGCCAAGGGTTTTGATGGTCCCCATACGATGAAGTTGATAAGCAGACTTGAGAATTTCAAGCTCCTGACTATGGTGGATACATAGTGGCGCCAGTCATTGTTTTATTTCGGAAAGGGTTGTGGATAAATTGGGATTACATGTGGAGTCTTCACCGACGTATTCTGTGATGCTCGACAATGGTCAACGCATTTCCGCACAGGGATTGTGCCACGCCCTTCTTTTTTTGCAGGCGGCTACATTTATGGTTGATTGCTTTGTTTTTCCGTTGGAGGGGTGGATATAATATTGGGTGTCTCTTGGCTGGCTTCGTTAGGAGATGTGAAAGCAAATTGGAAAAATTTGACAATGGAATTAGTTAAAGATGGTCGTACGATTCTTTTGAGAGGGGATCCTTCGTTCACCCGCCAAGCCGTTTATGTGGCTACAACAATTAGCAAATTTCAGACGGTGAGCAAACATGGCTTTTATGGTCGATTGATCATTCGGAATCTCCACCACATTGTCCTGTGTCAATCGAGCCTCATTCACCAACTCGGGATGAACTCTCATCCCTTTTAGCAGAATTTTCGGAGATCTTAACACCATTTTCTGGACTAAATCCTAAGCGACACATTGACCATCATATTAACTTGCAACCTGGTACCGAACCCATTTCAGTGAGACCATAACGCTACAATCATTTCCAAAAAGATGAAATGGAACGACCAGTGGCAGATATGTTGGAAGCTGGGTTGATCCGTCCATGTTGCAGCCCCTACTCGAACCCTGTTTTGTTGGTTCGCAAAAAGGATAGTAGTTGGAGGTTTTGTGTGGACTACCGCGAGTTAAACAAGCATACGGTTCCGGATAAATATTCATCCAGGAATTATTAGACGAGCTGCATGGGGCAAAGTGGTTTAGCAAGCTCGATCTCCGTGCCGGTTACTATCAGATACGGGTTGCTGAAGCGGACATTTCTAAAACAGCGTTTCGTACACATTCAGGTCATTACGAGTTCTTAGTAATGCCTTTTGGGTTGACTAATGCTCCCGCCACCTTTCAGGCCATCATGAATGATATTTTCAGGCCTTATCTCCGTCACTTTGTGTTAGTCTTTTTTGACGACATCCTGGTGTATAGCAAGACGTGGCAGGAGCATTTGTGCCATCTCATTAGGCCTCCTTCGGGAACATTCATTTCCAATAAATCCGATGAAGTGTTTGTTTGGAAGGAAATCTGTTGAGTATCTCAGCCATGTGGTCTCATCTGATGGGGTGGAGATTGACCCAACAAAAATCGCTGCAGTGCTCCAATGGCCGCATCCTGCTTCTCTTCGTAGCTTGCGTGGTTTTCTTGGCCTCACAGGTTACTATCGCCGATTTATTCGTAGTTATGGCAAGATTGCCTCTCCTCTCACGTCTCGATTGAAAAAAACATCTCGGGAGTGGGTCTGGCCCTTTGAGGCTGAACAGGCTTTCCAAGAACTCAAGCAAGCCCTAACATCCGCTCCGGTTTTAGCTATGCCTGATTTTTCATTGCCGTTTATCGTTGAGTGCGATGCATCTAGACGAGGGCTTGGTGTGGTTTTGATGCAACAAGGTCGCCCGGTGGCTTATTTTAGCAAGGGTATTTCAGACCGCGCCTTAGCTAAATCCGCTACGAGAAGGAGTTGATGGCACTGGTGATGGTTGTACAACACTGGCGTCCCTATCTCATGGGGCGACGCTTTCTAATTCGTACGGATCAGCGCAGCTTGAAACATCTATTACAGCAACAGTTGACTACTTCTGCCCAACGTTACCAAATTGCTAGGCTTTGATTTCGAAATAGTTTATCGCTCCGAAACTTCGAATCAAGCTGTCGACGCCCTATCACGTAGGGATGAGGAGGTGGAATTAATAGCCATTAGTATGCCCACATGGATGGACTAGTGTCAACTAAAATCGGCTATTGAGTCTGATCCAAAGTTATCCAAAATTGTGTCGGCTTTGGAATCTAGCACGTCCGCACCACTGCATTACTTCCTTGTTCATGGGAATCTTTTCTATAAAGGTCGCTTGGTAGTTCCTAGTGGATCCGAGTGGACCACCAAATTAATTTCAGAATTCCATTCCACACCAACAGGGGGTCACTCTGGGGCATTCTGCACTTATCGGCGCCTAGCAGCAAACGTGTATTGGCCAGGAATAATGCGCCAAGTGACCGATTTTGTGAGGCGTTGTGACATTTGTCAAAGAAGCAAGTACGACACCAAAGCACCTGCAGGCTTGCTACAACCCTTGCCAATTCCATATCGAGTTTGGGAGGACATTAGCTTGGACTTTATTTTGGGCCTTCCCCGTTCGGGCAATCTTGACTGTATCCTGGTGGTGGTTGATAGATATTCAAAATATGGTCATTTTCTGGGATTGAGACACCCTTACACCGCTCGATCTGTGGCAAATTTGTTTTGTCGAGAGGTGGTGCGATTGCACGGTATCCCAACATCAATTGTATCAGATAGAGATTTAGTGTGCCTAAGTTCGTTCTGGCAGGAGTTATTTAAGTTGGCAGGCACTAAGTTGAGAATGAGTTCGACATATCATCTTGAGACGGACGGACAAACAGAGGTACTAAATCGTTGCCTTGAGACATATTTGCGTTGTTTTAGTTCCGAAAGGCCTCGAGAGTGGAGTAAATGGTTGGCTTGGGCAGAGTACTGCTACAATACCAGTTTTCAATTAAGTGTGGGTAGTACTCCATTTGAGGTAGTTTATGGTCGTGCACCTCCTAGGCTACATCGTTTTATACCTGGAGAAGTGAGGGCACAATCATTAGTAGAGGATCTTCGGGACAGGGATGAGGTCTTGCACCATTTGCGTTTCCACCTGGACCGTGCTCAACAACGCATGATTCGTGAAGCGAATAAACATCGTAGAGACGTGGAGTTTGCAGTAGGGGATAAAGTGTTTGTCAAATTTCGTCCTTTTCGACAGCACACTTTTCCTCAGCATGAACACTAAGTTAGCGCCTCGATTTTTTGGGCCATTTGAGGTAGAGGCTCGTATTGGAGCAGTTGCTTATCGATTGAAATTGCCTGGTACCGCAAGGGTGCATCCAGTCTTTCATGTTTCGCTGTTAAAAGCTTCAGTGGGACTGAATTCCGTTGAGCCTACATATTATTGGGAGATGACCCATTATTTATTCTGGAGAAAGTGCTGGCGCGACGAGAGATTGAGCGCAATTGGGGAAATGGTTCCACAGGTTCTAATAAAATGGGTGGATCACGGGGATGATGAGGTAGTTTGGTTGGACACTGAGGAAGTACGTGGCTAATTCCCTAATTTCAGCCTTGAGGACAAGGTTGTTTCCGTCCGGGCAGGAGTTGATAAAGACCAATTTATGAAAGTTTCTTCTAGAAGGCTGAAACGAGTTGCGGCTGTTCCTACTGGACCCTAGGGTGTAGGCCCAATTATCCTATTATTTAGTTAATGTAATAAGTTAAGTTAGCGGCTCTTAAATGGGCTTTAGGGTTTAATTATTAAATATTAGGGTTTAATATATATAGGGTAAGAGTTAGATGAATATTCTGGAATATTGGCGTTTGTGGCAGGCTATCTTGCCTGAGGACCCTTCGAGGTAGTTCGTTCATTATCTATTGTTATTATTACCCTTCACTCTATCAATTTATGTGTAATACGAGTATATATTAGTTTAAAATATGCAAGTTTCATGATTCTCAATTTTGTTATTTGATAAAATATGAAAAATGATAAAGGATATCAAATAAAAAAGGTAAGTAAGCTATGGTAAAGATAACAAAATGGTATGGGATCTAAAGCAAATATTGGAAAAGGGAATGAAGTAGGAAAAATATTATATATATATATATATACATATATATATATATAGACTTTAAATCCACTGAAAAAATAAGTTAAAAAATTATATATTATATATATATATATATTTAGTTAAAAAATTTTGAAAAAGGAAAAAACACAATAATGATATGGACTTTAAATCCACTGAAAATTAGAAAAGAAAAAATATTAAAAGTTAAGACGATTACATGATAAAAAATGGTATTAACGTAGACAAACTAAAAAGGAAAAGAAGAGAAGTAAATAGGAGCGCTGTTTTGAATTTCTTGTTTCAGTTAATTTAATTGGCCGGAAAATAACCTGTCTATGTACAAAGTTCACCCCGTTTTTGTAGATATATAGATATGGATTTATGAGGGAACCTCAAAACTTGCTGTGTGAAGATAAAATACCCTGAAACTTTTTACATGTGAATAGAAGTTAGTTTCACCCATGTGTAGAGTCCATTTTAATTGTTCTAGTAAATGAACTCATTTTATCTTTGGATTCGTTTGCAAATTCAACTTCTCTTTATGTGCTGATTGAAATTCAAGCTCAACATGCAACTGTTTAGTAGTGCATCGCTTGCTCTGTTACCTTGGAATATAGATTTTTGAGTTCAACATTTTTTTCTGACATAGATGGTGGCGAACTGTACACATGGGGCTCCAACGAGAATGGCTGTCTTGGAATTGGGTGTGTGGCATAAACAATTCTTGAAAAAAGCTACCGGTTTTCTTTTTTACTGCACTCAATTGGAAATTTTATTTGGTTGACCTATCACATTTCAGCTGCACAGAAGTCACTTACGAACCTGAAAGAGTTGAAGGTCCATTTTTGAGGCAATCTGTTAGCAAGGTTTGTCATGATAACTATGTGAAAATTAAAAATTTAGATTCATGCTCAGTACTCTTTTCGTGGTAATACAGTCTATGTTTTGATAGGAAAGGCCTCATTTTCTCTCGTTTCTCTTCTTTATTTTGTCTCTAGTTGAATACTCTAGGATAAGAAAATGTTTTTAGAAGGATAAAATCTGTAGCTTTTTTCAGAAAAAAAGGTTTAATCGGTATTTAATTTATTTTTTGTTGTATCTGCAATTTTCTATGAAACAGGTATCATGTGGTTGGAAGCATACTGCAGCAATTTGCGGTAAATATTTAACGATGAGTATTCTGTTAAGACTATCTTTTTTTCTATTTTATATAGCTTTTTATGCAAAATTACTTTATAACTTATATTTAATCCATACAACAACAACATAACCTTTTAGTCCCAAGCAAGTTGGGGTAGGCTAGAGATGAAACCTAAAAGAACCAATGGTAAGAGACACAAAAAGGGCTCAAAACAAAAGGAAGAGATTGGAGATATTCCAATCCTTGTAGATACTCCATGCGCTCCTATCCACTGCTAAATTCTTGTAGATATTCCAATCTTTAAGGTCTCTCTTAACCGACTCTTCCCAAGTGAGTTTAGGCTAACCTCTACCTCTCTTTACATCATCGACCCGCTGTAGAACTCCCCTACGCACCAGTGGATCAGGAGTACATGTCCGAACCACCTCAGCCGATGTTCAACCAATTTCTCCTCACTTGGAGCCACCCCGACCCTATCTCGAATATTCTCATTCCGGATTCTATCCCTTCTTGTGTGCCCGCAAAACCAACGCATCATACGCATCTCTGCTACACTTAGTTGTTGGACATGCCTTTTTGTGGGCCAACATCCAACACTGTATAGCATCGCCGGGCGAATCGTCGTCCTATAGAAGTTACCTTTTAGCCTTTGTGGCACCCTCTTATCACAGAGAACGCCCGAAACTTGACGTTATTTCAACCAACCGGCTGCAATTCTATGCCTAACATCTTAATCAATGTCGCCATCCTTTTGTAGCATCAATCCTAAATACCGGAAAGTCTACTTCTTGGTCACCACTTGCCTGTCAAAGCTAACGTCACCATCATCATGTGAAGCCATGCTGAAAGCGCACGTCATGTACTCGGTCTTCGTCCTACTAAGTCTGAAACCTTTCGACTTTAACGCGTCCTTCCACAGCTTTAACTTCCTATTTACCCTTGCCCTACTCTCGTCAACTAGCACCACATCATCAGCAAAGAGCATACACCAAGGGATATCACCTTGTATGTCCCTTGTGTCATCCTCCATCACCAAGACAAATAAATA